CAGGCTAACCCATCCCCCACCCCCCTATTTTAAAGATTTTATTTATTTGACAGAGATAGAGCGAGAGAGGGAACACAAGCAGGGGGAGAGGGAGAGGGAGAAGCAGGCTTCCTGCTGAGCAGGGAGCCCGATGCGGGGCTCAATCCCAGGACCCCAAGCCCGATGCGGGGCTCGATCCCAGGACCCCGAGATCATGACCTGAGCCGAAGACAGCCGCTTAACGACAGCCACGCAGGCGCCCCCATGGTTCACTTTTAATCCTTTTATCTGAACTTTGTGCTTTCTCCTCATCTTTCCCTGCCTCTGCTTCTTCAGAAACCTCACTGCAAATCCCACCGCAGGTCCAGGGACACAGTCGGCGCCCACTTGGGTCTGGGCCAGAGAGTTTGCCAAATTCCTTGATCTCATTTCATAAAAAGCCACATTTAAATCATGAATTACTTTCAGTATTGTGGTAAATTTAAAACATGCTGTAAAAGACTATTTTCCTATTTAATATCGTTTTGTGACGCCACTAAATTTAAATGTCCAATTCGTCTACTTTTTAAAGAAATTTGAGTTTCCTTACCAAAAGCTATTATTAACTGAGCTTCAACCAAGGATAACTTAGTGCAAATAATTTGTGTTGAATAGATTTAAAATCTGATACAAAATTGATCGGCGTGCACCTTCTTCCTGTTTACTTACCTGTGTGGTCTTTCATCCTTGATAATAAGTGACTATTACTGTAAAGCTCTGTGCTAGAACCTCATATTTCATCTCTGCATTTCACCTCAGCCATCTGTGCTAAGCATCTCTCTCTCTCTTTACAGTGCAGGAAACGGAAGTTCAGGAGAGTGAGGTCACTTGCTTACAATCCCACACTAAATGGCAAAGCCTGGATTCCCACACATCCGCCGTGCCGCTTCCAAAGACACATGGACCCCTTCCAGCACAGGCAAGAGTGCCTTCTGTGCTCTAAGACATGTGTCCTACTGCACCCAGTTCTAAAATAAGGGTGGGATTTAGGGTGTAGCTTGGGGCCACCACAATTCCCTCTTCCCAATCCCTTAGGAAAGCTGAAGATTTGGATCTGACTGCTCTCTTGTAAGGGCATCACATGACTTCTGGCCTTGGTCTTCTCATCCGTTTTACCCAGCGCCCCGAGAGCAGAGGGCACCCCTGGGCAGGCAGGAGGGGCTCTGACACGCCTGATGACATAGGCTTACAAAGGACCACCAGCCGGAGCACTTCATGAGGGGGTGCAGGAGGGCATGAGGTTGTGGGAACCTGGTTTTGATGGTTTGTTCCCAATAGGTACCTGTTTCACTGGGAACACTGTCAAGGGGAGGGCATACAAATTGCTGGAAAGTGCTAGCTTGGCTGAAACATCGTCACGTTCATCAGTCACAGGAAACCCTCATCTATGCTTGTTATTTGAACATAGAATGCCAGTCGTAATATGTGCTGACATAATCACTTAAGAATTTGTTTCCAAGCCAACATGGAATCCCGCCTGTGGTCCATTCCTTTAGGTATCCCAAGTTTTCAGACTTCAAATGCCAGTTCTTTGGCTAGAAGGACTTTTCACAAGGGCGGAGGCCCCCTTTGAATCTGCTCGACAGACTCCCATAGGTTTCTTTTTATTTTTTTTAAAGATTTTATTTTATTTATTTATTTGAAAGAGAGAGAATGAGAGAGAGAGAGAGAGAGAGAGAGAGCACATGAGAGGGGGGAGGGTCAGAGGGAGAAGCAGACTCCCTGCCGAGCAGGGAGCCCGATGCGGGACTCGATCCCGGGACTCCAGGATCATGACCTGAGCCGAAGGCAGTCGCTTAACCAACTGAGCCACCCAGGCGCCCTCCCATAGATTTCTAACTAACAGGTGAGTCCCAAGGCTCCTTACAAGCACTTCGGGCTCCTCCTCAGTGCTGGTAAGGGAGAGCAGGAGGGCAGGTGGGCAGGAGGCATAGTGAGGGATAATCCTTAGAAGGCCTAGTTACTACCTCCCCCTGGGAGCTCTTAGCCACATGCTACACATTTCATCCATGGGAACACCCAAATTCCACCCTCTTCGCCCTTGACCTCACTGGAAGAATAAGCACTTTCTCTCACACAGCCACTGGTTCCATCAGCAGTGCCCTTTAGCCGCGTCAGCCATGGACTCCTGTACTTTCCTACAGACGCAACGCTGTCTCCCAGACGACCCTGTCACCACCTCCTGAAATCTCGATGGTCCACGAAGGCTCGGATGGAGCCCCCACCCTCCCAGAGCGCTTCTCGGTCACCCTGCTAGAAGAGTTCTCTCTCCGTGGACTATCACAGTAGTTGGGTACATCCACCTCACGGAACTCACCACAGAGCCCCCTGTGAAATCATCTGTGCGGGTGTCTGATCCCAAGCTAACAGAGGCTCCTTTAGGAACGGAAGCCTTATCTCACAGATCCCTGCGTACCAAGCACTCTCCCGGTGAGCCAGGTAACATTCTTCAGAGGTCTGGTCAACACAAGAACACGAACGGGCAACAGAGGGGGCAGTAAGCACCATTCATGAGAGTCTGGACGACCCGAAAAAGGGGACAACCCCTGACGACCGTGTGATTGGTTCTCTGCCATCACTACCTCATCAGGCACAGGGCTCCACCCTGCTTGTCCCTACAACGTCCACCGCAGAGCCTGAGCCATCTGCCACAACCTTAGACCACAGGCCGGGGCCAGACATCATTCGAAAATGACAGCAAAAATCGGTCCCGGGGAAATTTCTCCCTTTGGGTGAGTGCCATCCCTATGCTGGAAAAGAGGAAATGAAGCTCACAAAAATGTCAAAGATGACAAAAAATGCGCTTTAAGTTGGTGTCTAGAATGAGAACTAGTGCTATGAAAGCAGAGAGCAAACGACTAAGGTAACCACTATCTTGGTCCTGTTTTCTCCAATGAGGGCAGGATCTTCCAAATTGAGAGTGCAGAGAAACACCTGCTTAGTACTTGAAGTCTAAGACTGATGTGGGGATAGTGGGAGACACCTGTTTCAAAGGAGATCCCATGGCAGGACTGCTGTCAGGACTCGGGAGAAACCATGAACAACAGAGGACCAGATCCTGAGAAGCACTGCCCTACCTTCCCAAGGGGGAAATAAAGTAGCTTCTAGAAACTCCAGAATGGTGAACTTTATGTAAAACGCTGGCAAAATCTGGAATGATACAGACGATAAACATTCTGACTGCTAACAATTGCTGGTTTCTTTCCAGCTCTTGATTCAATGTAGTGTCACACCAAAATAACCTCCTTTTTTGTTTTTCTTGATAGGATTACTACAGCAGCCAACCCAGGAAATAACAAAACAATAGCTGAGAGTTTTAAGAGACCAGTGGGGTGGATTGAACAGAACATAATCTTGAAGGCGATAGCTAACACTGAGACTTTACTCTGTGCTTGACGTGGCTCCAAGGGCTTCTGTACTGTATTTGCCCGCAAGTTACACAGGTAGAAGTCCAACCAGGCAACCAGGCCCCCAGGTTGTGCTTTTCACATTAGGCTACAGTGCCTTTCCGCATGCATGGCAAGGCTGCTAAAAAGAGGGGAGGTGTGAATCCTGCCCTTCCCATACAGGTGGGCAAACCTGCCCTTCCACTTCCCTGTAAGAGAGCGAGAAGGATGGGAACGCATCTGGCCTTGCTCTGCCCTCTGACCCACTTACTTCTCTGAGAGGAGGAGGGCGACCTTCTGGTTGCCAAGATGGGGAGATACAGTGAGTATATTTTCTTGGCACGGCAACGTCATCAGGACAGAATACGACACTGCAAGGGGACCTTGTAGTTTATGGTGGGTCCATTACTGGGCTGATAATCAAAATATTTTAATAACCAGTTCATCACCAGACCAACAAACGCCACAAACCACTGGTGTGCGAGGGCCAGCCCTGGTCAGTTTGCGTCAATAGGGTTATTGACCAGGGTAATAAACCCCGTTATGGTATTAGCATCACCAATCCAGTCTTTCCAGTAAGAGATGAACTGTTTTGATTTTCATTTATCTGATTTCTAGGTCCTGTTTTTTCTTTCTTTTTTTTAGGTCCTGTTTTTTCAATATGTGCTGGACTTAGAGGGGAAGGGCAAGTATATGACTAACTATCACCACCAAAACCCCAGGAGTCCTCTGTACTTTTCAGACAGTATCCCCAAAATTAAATGCAGTTTCACATGACATTTTTAAGGTGATACTGACAAATTAGAAGGCACTCAAAAGGTAAGATCCAGCCTACACTGGGGACCACGTGTTATGCAGGAGATGGAAAGACGGGGGCCATTCAGGTCATGGCTCATGCATACGTGGTTGGACCTGTAAGTCGGACTGTGGCAGGCTGGGGGATGGGGGGAGGGGCAGAAAACAATCTTTGGCAAAGAAAGTGGTAGAGCTTTGGGAATAAGGTGGGCTCCCGTTACTCTAGAGAAGGGTCAGCAAATTATGGCTACAGCCCTTCTGTTTTGCGAGTAAAGCTTTATTGGAACCCAGCCATGCCCATCCATACACATATGGTCTATGGCTGATTTGCACTTGACAATGGCACAGTCGAAAGTGGGGTAGAGACTGTAGGGACTGCAAAGCCTAAAACACGTACTATCTGGCTTTTTACAGACCTCTGGTCTAGACCTAGGAAAGGAAAGCAACTAACAGCCTGAAGGTGTGTGTGTGTGGGGAGGGGCGGGGGGAAGAAAAGAGGAAGAAGGGGTATGTCTGGAAAGCTGGGACCTTTGGCTGGGGCGCCAGAAAAAGGCAGAGAGGAAACAATTAGGGTGGAACCACCACCATGTTTTACTATATGGGGGTCCCTCCTCATGTGAGCTGAGCTACAGAATACCCTTTCCAACTGAATTACCTACATCTATTGGGGTGAGTTCCAATTTTAGTATATGTGCTGCCGAAGCGAGCACCGGGGGGAGTTCCTAGAAGGTGGAGAGAGTGGATTTTTCTCCTGCCTGTCCGAATTGGCAGCATATAAACAGTAACATATAAACACATGAGCACAGGTAATCAAAAACGTTTTAATGATTAATGTTTAGACATTATTTAACAGTGTGGGTATATTCAGATGAGCTAAAGCACACTTTGACAGCACACTACTGAATGTTATAGTTTCTGTATTGAAATATGTAAAGACATTTGCAAACTAGTACCTAGGAAGACATACATTTACAAATATACACATTCTAGATTTGATAAGGTAAATGTAAACAGATGCTGTGACTCCCTCCAAACAGAAAACCCGCAAAACTAATAAGAGAACCAATCAGCTCCCTGTAATATGAATGTGCAAAATTAAAGCATGGTAAACTGATATTTACATAAATATCAAACCAACAATTAGTTTACACATTGTCAATGACCTTCTAAGATGTGTCACGAGTGGTTCAATGACTGTTTTTTCTCCCAGTGGAGAAGGTATTCAGAGACTAAATTCCAACACTTTAAAATGACACGCACAATAGTCCTTATCTGTTTGACCACTGCCTCCAGGGTGAGAGACGTGATTTTATGATAAGCAGTCTCATTTTTAAATAAGCAGTTCTACACAGGTCTTTAGATCCTAAGCAGAAAAAGAAAATTACAGGTACTATTAGATTTACACTAAACAAATTATCTCTATGCAATTTCCCAGTTCTCTTACATTGTAGCTATCTGTTTAATTTTACCTTAAATTTTTTTTAAGGTCCCTTTTTCCCCCTTCATTCATTTTTATAAGCTAGGCACATTTTAAAAGAAGTTTGTGTCAAAACAGAGAGCAGTACAGAAACCAATCCAAATTTGGACCCATTGCTCATCTATGGAATTCTGTCAAATGGTAAATATTCAATTATCTCTTTTGAAAAGTATACATCCTCTCTTTCATGAGTGGAAAGCAAAGTGGGCATTGTTTCCCGTATAAAAACACTTAGCACTTCAGAAATTTTAAATGTCCTACTCATCCTACATACTTTCCAAAATCTTGAAGACAAAGAATATATATTTAGGTTTCATCAAGACTGCTTTAGAGCCCCCCCCTTTACATTATCAATAGTGGCGCTCAAAATAAAAAAATAAGATCTGTTAAAAAGTTAAACTGACCTTCCACTAGATTTGAGCCTGCCTGATTTAAAGCCAATATTATAAAACTGAAGGTGCCGTTTCTGATTTCACACATACAAGTCACTTGAAATTATGTGTCACACGCTAGTTTCATAAATCACGGTCTTTGATTTTTTTCTGAACAGAGCTATTAAAAACGAATAAAAACTTGAAACATACCTAATTTAAATTAATAAGCTTTGGGCCCTGCTTTTTAAATTTTAAGGCATGTGTGTTTGTCTACTGTAACAACATTGTACAAATTTACAATCACATGCATGATCTACAGTAAAAAAAAAAAAAGTGTGGATTACAGTGTTTTTAAATTGTGAATCACAATTCAGCACCTATCATGTTATAACTAATAAGGCAACAGCAGTGTTGTATACTACAATAATACGCCCTCCACAGTTTAGCGCAGTGGTCGGTGAGAGCCCAGAAATGTTAAAAATCTTATGCCTACGTGTCTAATCTGTATACATTTTCTAGGGGTTTTGAACTGATGAAAGAGGTCCTACATGAATCGCGCTATTGTAGGCCGGACTAGTTACAGCAGCTGTTAACAAGCATCGGGCACAACTCATACTGTGCTTACAATCAGACGATGGGTTTTGGAGGTTTTTCAACTCTTCGGCGTCAATCCTTCCGTTGCTTCCTCGGCTTCACGTTGTTTTCCAGGGAAGAAAAGCTGTTGGTGTGTCCGTTCACAGCAGCCACGGACCCGTTCTGGTGGTCCTTCAGGTGCTCTTTCCTCCGAGAGGCCCCCTTCTTGTTGTAAGTCTGAAATGCATCAGGGCAGATGGGCCGTGTGACTGGGTGCTCTGCTGGGGGTTGGGGGGCACCCCGCTTCCCTAACTCTAAGCCTAGACTCCTGGCACCGAGATGTAAGGTCCGCCCAGGTCAAGCAACCCTGGGAACATTTTTTGCCACTGGTTTCAATCACTCCTTTTTTGAGGCGTAGCCTGAGGTAAGTTCACAGGGGAATGCGCTGCAATGTAAGGGCTATTCTACAAACGAAGTAGAAAATTCAAATTATACTTCACTTGGCTGTGCCCTCTCTGTATCTGGATGGCAGAGGATAGGGGCTACATGGCCCCACCAGTCTCCCCCCCTCTGTGGTACCTCTCCCCATCACTCACATCTCTCACCTTCAGAATTTGCTCGTGAGTTCCGCAACTGCTTTGGCCCGTATGTACAAAGTGCTACGCTGCCAAAGCAGTTAAAATAGTATGACTTCAGTTTTGTCGGGTCCCATCCCGTATCCTCCCTCACGCCTGATGAATGTCCCAAAGTAGGGCATACACGGTCCGCGCGGCAGTCCAGGAGCTCCCTTGACCGTGGCACCACACCCAGGGGCGTGGGGCCTAAGGTGCAGGTGGGCACAAGGATGGCAATGTGGTGACGCCCCCAGGTGGCTGCTCAACCAGCTGGACTTCACTGCCGCCACGTCCCTGGCCTCTGCCCAGGCTCCTGACCTCTGGTGCCTGCCCAGAACCAGGCACTACCCACGGGAGCAGGAACACACCTCATCCAGAGGTAATGGGGAACTGCAAAGTGACCCATGGAAATAACCTGCCCACTTGGACCCTTCTGTGAGTAAAACTGACCTTACATCATGCACTTGGGAATGAACGGAGCCCCCAAACCTGAACAGTGGAGGTGTGACGGAACTACAGCTGAGGGCTGTGATGGACATGTCTTTGGACATTTAATGTAGCCCCAGAGTTCAGGGCAGCAGGGCTGTGGGCCTGCTGGTGGAACTCACCCATCACGTGTCTGCACTAGGCTGTGAGCAAAGCACCACGGAGCTTGCCGAACAGCTCTGCTTTCCCACATGAATCCCAAGCTCCCCTGCCAAAGGTCTAGAACCCCGGAAGTTTGGGACAGACCTCAGCATCTCCTATGTTGGCAGTAGTCCCCCTCCCAAAGGTAGGGGCTGACCTGTCACTGTGACTAAATTAGAGCTTGCTGCCCGGCACGCAGCAGGGGTTCTACAGGTCGTCCCCCTTAAACGAACAGAGGAGGGCCTTTGCTGGAAAGGCCACGAGTCCCAACTGCCACGGAAGAGTGAGACTTACCTGAACGTAGAAGTTTGTGAAGAGAGTGATCAGAGAGATCATGTATCCGATCTGGAAGTAGAGCCACCCAAGAGGGAACGTGCACGGCCAGAGGACCCCGCAGCTGGTCTGGATGATTGTCAGCACAAACTGCAGCTGGTGGGAGAGAGGGCCACAGCTGAGCAGCACGGCCACAGCCCATGGACAGGGCGCCACGCCAGATGGGCTCTCCATCCAGCACGACGAGTCCGTGAACGAACACTCACGGGCCCTTCTGGAGGCGAAGTCCCTTCACAAACACTAAGCAGACATTTATGCATAAAGTTCTCCTAAACTATATATGTGCCTTTGTCATATACATTCTTTTGTCATATACATTCTTCTCCGCTTCCTACTACTTAAACCACCTTCTCTAAAATTCCGAGAAGAGTTAACAATACTACATGGTATACATGAAAGTTGCAAAGAGTAGATCTTAAAAGTTCTCATTGTAAGGAAAAACCCTATAGCTAGGTAGAGCGACTGTGGCTGTGACCTGAGCTTACTGTCACAATCCCTACACACACCTGATCAGTACGCCATACACTTCACAGAATGTTACAGGGCTAGTACAGCTCAGGGAAGCTGGGGAACAAAGGAAAACTTATCTAACCCTCCCCAAACACACAAACTTTAGGGACCCTGTATAGAGATGCAAAGTATTTTTTTGTATGCTTTATATTTTTAAGGGAGAAAGGAAGGGTGTGGAGTATATGTTTATTTTATTTTATTTTTTTAATTTTATTTATTTATTTGACAGAGAGAGACACAGCGAGAGAGGGAACACAAGCAGGGGGAGTCGGGGAGGGAGAAGCAGGCTTCCCGCCGAGCAGGGAGCCCGATGCGGGGCTCGATCCCAGGACCCTGGGATCATGACCTGAGCCGAAGGCAGACGCTTAACGATTGAGCCACCCAGGGGCCCCTGGAGTATATGTTTAAAGAGAACCAGTGATGTCGCTGTGGGATGTGCAATTCCTATTTCTCCCTTTCTTTTTTTTTTAAAGATTTATTTATTTGAGAGAGAGTGTGAGCAGGGAGAGGGGTGCAGAGGAAGCAGGAGAGAGTTCTCAAACAGAACCCCCGCTGAGCACGGAGCGCAACGCAGGGCTGGACCCCACAACCCTGAGATCATGACCTGAGCTGAAACCAAGAGCCGTACGCTTAACTGACTGAGCCACCCAGGTGCCCCAACTTTTCCTATTTCTTATCCATATACCCTTTTGGTTTGAAGAAGGCTGGTCAACAGATTTAAACTTCTATCAAGATATAATGCTAAGTCCAGATTATTTCTGATGAATAAATCTTTTTTTTTTTTGGATGACAGATCACAGAACAACTGCTTGGAGAAACAGGGGAAAAGTGTTAAAATGAAGTGTGGCTACTGAAGGGTGAGTCTTCAAGAGGAATAACAGTACTAGGGGGGAAGGGTTCTGCCCACTGGATTTCTGGCCCAGCCCCCAGGGTTTCTCTGTAGAACTGTTTTTTTCCCCCCTTCTTCTCTTTTTTAAGGTAAGTATTCTAAGCTAAGGAATAACTAGGAGTGGTGCTTAAAATAAATCTAGGCAAACTGGGTGCAATCTTCTACCTCAAAGGGCAGAGCTTAATGGGAAACCAACTTCCCCAGTCTGTTCTTGTAAATTCTGCTTTTGCAGGCCCACAGCTGTGTGGTATAAATCAATCTCCACATCACTTCTCAAGTGTAACAAGAAGGTTAGAGAACAATTTTCCTGCCTCACAGGTGGGTGGAAAAAAATTAACAAGGACTAGAGAGCAGCTGGCAAAGAGGTGATAATGAAATGTCAAACACATAAGTAGCTCAGAGGATCTTCTCAGATTTTTTTTCCCAGACTGTTATTTTTAAATATTGAAAAATCACAGTTGACTTGGAAAGACTGGAATCAGCTTGGTTTCTTTAGAGAAATACGCTGATAAGGCAAGGCTGGGGCTAAGGCTTTACTGCCTAAACCCCTGTCAGCTGGCTTTGGACTACTGCCTCAGTGTCCTCATCCATAGAGTGGGGATAACAACATGAGATGCGGCTACTGGAATAGTCCACGTAAACCTGCTTTCTTAGCATGAGTGCCTGACACAGAGTACACTCAACCAAGGTCAGTGTTTCACATCCGTAGTAATAGTAATTAGTTCACGAAAGAATTCACAAGGGGAGAGAAACAGGCGTCTGTCATATCCTGACAACTCAGGGAAGCTTCCGAAAGGACGGTAGGACATGATCACTGGGTGCCAACAGCTTCTGGGTGGCCCTGGCACGGCCAACCTCGGGAAGCACAGCAGGTGCCATCCTAGCCAACAGGTGCTTTGCTGCAGGGGGCTGAGAGGTCACCGGGCACCTATCTTACTGACATCCTCGCTGCCTAATGGCTACAAGCATCCGGGACTCCTGCTACCCCACAGCTCCTTCTAAAACTCCCGGGAACACGGGTCACAGTGGTCACTCTGGATTCTGGATTATAATTAGGAAACACACAGGCAACACATACTTTGTGCACAAACTAAGGACGTAGGACTGAACTTGAAGTCAGGAAATCAGCTTCTTGTCCTCATTCTACAGCCCAACTAGCTGTGTGCTCACAGGCATAGTTTCCTCCTCAACTGAAAGAAAATTCTCTGCTCAGCCTGTTGCAAGTAGTTTAATTGGATCAAAAGAGAAAGGGTGGGAAAGGCACATATTAGATACTATTAAAGGACAAAGCCAGGAAGAGGGGTCTGCCAGGCAGCAAGTCCTGGACAAAGAGGCTGAGTCACTTACCAGTTGCCCCTGAGTGATATACTTCTTCCACCAGAGGTATGGGCGCACGGAAGGGACGGACGACAGACCGTAGTACGAGTACATGAGGACATGGATGAAGCTGTTCAGTGTGGCACCGAAGTAAGCTGAAGAACAGAGGGGATTTGGGAAGGAGAATGCATCAGTGTTTTACACATAACAAGATTCTGTTCAAATCCGAAAAACAGATGCATTCAAACAGGGGCTGGCAAGCACTGTGTGAACCAGTACTCGGAATTCCGTTTCCACTGGGGCAGGCAGACTGGGATGCTTTAAGGCCAGGGTCAGCTGGAGCTGCCAGGCAGGCATCTAACATAAGAGTCAGGAGACCACCTCACAGCTTTGTTGCCAGACCCCCCATCAACTCCCAGCGCAAGGTGCTTTTCTTTATGTGCCGAGTGCTTCAGGCCTGGGGAAGATAGCTGATGGGCAGGAAGTTCAAAGCTGGCTGTCTAACACACCTGCTGAAGTTGGAAGAGGTCTTGGAGGCCTCGGCCTCCTTATTATTCCCCAGGACTGCAGGGCTGAGACCACATATTTTTTCAATAATACAATCCAGAGTCCAGTTCCTTGGAGATAAAAGACTCCTCTTTTATTGCATGCTTTGAATTTCCAGTAGAACCACCAGTTCTTTTTTTAGCCTCTCTGTCCTCCTCCCCCACAGCGGGCAACCCAACAGAGCTCGCCAGTTCTCCCACACACAGTCGGAGGTGCATACGGCTGGGGTCAGGGAGGGAGGTTCTACCTCTGGCTATCACAGTCACATCCAGGTCCTGGTTGTTTCTCTTGGGCCCAGTGCGGCTAGTTAAAATCTGCCATCCTGTGAGTTCTTTGAAAATGTAAAGAGACACTGTTTCTATTATAAAGTTAAGTCAGATATCCAGAGCCATGAGGTGTGACGGTGGGAAGAAAACATGAGAGGGCCGGGGCCTGGAACCTGAGCGCTACCAAACCTTTTACTATCTCAAGTTTCCTCCCAAACCACAGGGAGCTGGGTTTGGTGAGTCACCTTTCTGGTTCTAAAATTCTATGACTGTGTGAATCTTGGTGGGCCGGGTTAATCCAGGGCAAAATCCTAGGGAAAAAACCCACATGAGCAGACGCAGAGGTTCTCATATTCGTCAGTGCTAGATGGCAGAAATTTTGATCAGGACATTTGTTAGAACTCCCAAGCTAAACCTAGAGGAGACAACTTAATCTCTGAAAATTATGAGAGACCTCAGACCATAAGCTTTCTAAAAACGACACACATCCGTCTTTGGGAATTTACTTCAAATTTCGGTGCTTGCCATTGAAGATGCCCTGCTAACTGTGCTTCATGGAACATGGCAGGCTCATATGTGCAGACTTCCTCCTGTACTCTTCAGCTAAAGCTGTGTTTCATCATTAGTCTTGTTCCCTGGGACTCCCTCAGTGGTGTGGTTCTATCTATCTGGCCTGCCCCTCTCAGTCAAATATCTTCCAAATTGTAGAGAAACAAGGACTAGAAATAACCTAGAACACCTACCCTCTATGACAGAGGACACTGTCCCTATTTCCCTATAAGCCCCAGGCTGGGGATTTGGTATCTCCCTCACCTTGCCAAGTCAGCCAGAAATAGGTTTCGTCAGCTTACTGAGTGCACAGGCCACACAAACGATCATTAAAGCAACTTGGACACAAAGTTCCAGTGTTTGACCTAGAAATCCACAGAAAGAGCACCTCCTCTAAAAGCCTTGGTTTCAATTCAGCCTCTCTGCTCACACCTGTCCCCAGCAACCCCCCCCCCCCATGAAAGACTTACAGTGGCCGCAGGGGACCCAGTTCATCACAAACCACCATATGTTCAGCATGGAGGCGTGGTGGTAGACGTGCAGGACTGTGATCTGGTGGTTGTTCTTCCGTAAGATGAAGAAGAAGGTGTCCATGAATTCAATGAGCTTGGAGAAATAGTACCACCAGAGGACACGGATAATCTAAGAGGAAGAGATCATCAATGTTTCTCTGGACCATCACCCCGGACGTGTTTTACTAACATCCCAGAATCCCAGGTTCACTTGAAGCCTGAGCACCCCACTGGCTCCTAAAGTCCTTCAGCAGCTGGGAGCTCTGGTCATTCTGAGAGTGTCTCTAACCAAAGGATACTGGGGGGGAGGGGGAGGTGTGGAATGATGACAGGGAAAATTTTAAAAGCAGCACGGCCATCTTTCAAGACTAACAAAAACAGGAGGATCAAGGTTCAAAAAACCCCTGAAGCCTGCCTAGTCCCTTTGGAAGGACCTGTGAAGCCATCGGTATAAAAAACCCTCCCGAGAGGCGCTTCTGATTTCAGGGGCTGGCGTGGGGGCAGGTGCCAGGATACAAGGCGAAGAAGAAAAGGAATCAGAACTTTCTGTGTCAGGTCCCTGCCCAGTTAAATACGTCACACAGTTCTAAGGAAACAACTGCCCATCTGAACTTAAAGCAGCAGCTTTTTATTTAGAACAAAACACTCAGAGTGGAAGTCGGAATCTCAAGACCACCCTCAGCACTTTAAGGAATGATTACAGCATTTAAGACGTTATTCTTATGATCCTGTTTATATGAATGCTGACAAATGCATGTAGTTTTTTTTTTTTTTTCTGGAAACCTAAAAAAAATTTTTTTTTCAAGATTTTATTTTTAAGTAATCTCTACACCCGATGTGGGGCTCCAACTCACAATCCCGAGATTAAGAGTTGCACACTCCACCGACTGAGCCAGCCAGGCGCCTTTTCCTAGAAACTGTTAACAGGATTTACTTTTACTAAATGAAACTTTAGTTTTCATCTTATATCTCTCATGTTGTTCAACTTTTCATACCATGTGGACATAGGTTTTTAAAAATTTTTTTTTAAAATGTCAACAGGAATTATCTTGGGCAGTGAGGATATGAACCATTTTGTCTTTTGTACAATTTATTAAAAAAAAAAAAAACCTACTTAAAAAAGAGAGACCATACCTTCATATCTGCTTCTCCTGCGCTGCGAGTGCCTTGACAGAAGAAGTTGTACCTGCCTTCCCATACTCCTTTCACTAACTAAAAAAAAAGGATAAAAAAGGAAAAAGCCCATCACCAACAAGATCAGAAATATGGAAAGCCCTATTCAATTAAACTTCATCTGTTTCAGAATCTATGACAATTGACCTTGGGCTGGCTGAGGCAAGTCTGGTCTTTGCTCCTCAGCAAAAAGCACGACGATGGGGAGTGTGAACACCAGGAAGTCTCCATTTCACGAGGGGTGGCCTGGAAGTCAGTCACTCTAGGGTGCCACCTTACCAAGCTGGCGGTCTCCACAGTTCTCCATTCCCTAGGCTGTCCCAAGACCCGGACCAACCTGATGGCAGGCTCCGGTCCCACACGCAGTCTCCAGGGAGATCACACCTTCACAAATTCAGCCCTTCCCTAAACCAGCACTTCTCAAACTTTGAGCATGGCGTACCACCAGAATCCCCTCAGGGGCATGTAAAAACAGGATCACCGGGGAGTGTTTCTGATCCAGTAGGCCTGGGGTGGGGTCCAAGAATTCATATTTCTAACAAGTTTCCAGATGATCCTGATGCTGCTGGTCCAGAGACCATGCTCCAAGAATCACTGCTGTAAAACCTAGGATGATTTAGTCAGCCTCGCCTTCGTTATCTCCTGTTGCCGTGTCATCCGCTGGGCCCAGGAAGCAGAACTCTGCAGTGTCACAGAAAGGACCCCAGAATCAGGGGGTATGCAAGCTCTAGGTTACAGGCCTGCAGTATCACCAGTTCTCTATGGTTTCCTCATTTATCCATAGCGAGGACAACTGGCCTAGATGAGATTTAAGGACCCATTGTAACAGTCCAGAGGGAAGGTTTACTTTGAACACTTGTGCACGTCCACACTATTTTCTAAACAAACACCTAGGACAAGGTGCTATTCCTTGTTCATGTGAACTGTAGCTTCCTGCTTCCCAAAGCCTATGGTGATCTTGATTTTTCCTGTTGACCTTCTCTCTGGGGGCCAATTGGCACTCTATAAATGGGGAGAATTCTGAGGTGGCCTGACTTGTGCCTGATCTCATCTGGTATCCAACATAAAAAACTGGCCCTGGGTCTCAAAGTGTGTTCCCCAGTCCAGCTCCATTAACACCACATAGGAACTTCTAAGACATGGAAGTTCTTGCGCCCACCCCAGAATCAAAACTCTAGGGGTAGACCATCAAGGTAGGGCCTTAGAGTCATGATCACAGAGCTTTTGAAAACTGAATACTGTGGTTTCCAAAGTGTGGTTCCCAACCCAGCAGCATCAGAATCACCCAGGAATTTGTCAGAAACACAAAATCTCAAGCCCTACCCTAGACCTTCTGAATCAGAAATTTCTGAGCGCGAAGCCCAGAGGCGTGGCAACAGGCTGTTTCACAGGGGACTTTGACGCAGCTAAAGTTTGCAAACCACCGGCTGAAAGCCTTGGTTCCCACTCTAGTTACATAACAGGACCACCTGGGAGCTTCTAAAACCTGCTAATGCCTGGCCTCGCCCCAGATCATGAAACCAGAATCTTGAGGGGCCTTCACAAAGCTCTTAAAGTACTTCCAACCTGCAACTAGGAATGGGAATCACGGGTTTCATGCTGGGTAAGCAGCAAAGGGATTACAAGGGCCTGAAGACAAACAGTTAAACTTGAACCCAGTTTGACCTCAGAAATGCCAGAGTGGGCATGGCAATTGCACTCTGAATGCCCTTCTTAGAAACTGCTTTTTCTTCTACTAACTTCCTTTCTGTGGTTTGCCTTCTGGCTTTGTCATCTTCTATACATTAAAAAGTATTAAGCGTTAACATGGTTTTCAAGGCCAAAGACCAACACAGGCGTTTGGAGTACACATGGGGGAGGCACTGTTTTTCGATGAAGAGTTCGCATTAGGAAGCAGAAGGCCAGGGAGCTGGGACGAGTTAGGCTGCGGTCCACCGAGGCCCAAGATCTGAAGCGAGCCCGCTAAGTTCCTCGGGCCCTGGGTGTTTTTATGTAAAAAGGTGAGGTTGGACTAAATGATCTCTAAAGGTTCGAATTTTCTACAATTCCTATGTTAGGACTTTTAAAAAACAGACCACACACAAACTATGCTATACTTCACTATCTTTGAAAGACCAACATCCGCAAGGTAATTTACTAGAAGGTATGTCGTCCTTTTGGACAATATTGTGCTCTCAAGTCACGGCAGGTTAAGCACCCCACATGCAGACCCATCCCGAGTTCCAAGGATTGAGATAAAAAGCCTGAACCTCAAGTGGGATCGGGAGTTGGGGGTGCAGGCTTGTGTGCCCTCAGAAGACCTGAGGTGGAGAGAAGAGACTGGAGTCTCCCCGCCCTTCCTTCCACCCCATGAGGGAACCAGTGAATTATCTTCTGTGGCTGGAGGTTACGGAAAGGGAATGAATGGTTCTTGAAAAAATTTTCACACGACTACTGCAAATGATAAAAAGGATAACACAGCAAAGTGCTCCATGAAGATAAATTTATGCAATTTAAAAGATGCCTTTATTTAAAACGATAGCCTTACTTGGCAAAATTAAAAACTTATTAACCATGATTGTCCTCACTAGACATGCTTTTTGAAATGTTAACATCTTGTCAATTTAAAATTCTAGAACCTACCATCACTGTTTTCCAGCTATTTTGGTCTATCGTGTCCTGAGAAACTCTGGGTTGGTTTGCTTTTGCCAATTTTAGAACAGGATGGCTGGTTGTGTGTGCAGAGGTACAGATCACTGCATTCATGAATGCCTACCTTGGTAGGGGAGGGGACAGGCAAGGGAGCTGAGGAAGAATAGAGCTAATCCTTCCTTGTATTCCTGTAGGCACCTTGACCTCAAGGGTAGGCACAGACTGAGGAAGGACCTGTTAACTCTAGCAGAGGGGACAAACACATCCCTTTCTTTTAAAATGTCTTTCAGAAGGCATCCAGGTTGGATTGCTTTGCTCCTTAAGCTAATTACTTTAAAATTCCATTTGTCCCTCTTCCTATAATAGGAAAAAAAAAAAGACATGTGTATCTAAAACACCCAGCATCTCTGGAGACTAAAGAACTCCAGGTCTTGGGGGGTGAACTTCCCCCAAACTGAAGCATTAAAACAGGTACACAAACCAGAAGCTTTCATCCAGCTTCAGGGCCCTGAACCCACCGTCCCCTTCTCCCAGGAGGGGCTAACTACAGCCCCCAGGGCAGCTCGCCCTCCCTCACCACTGCCACTCAGCACTTCCACTGGGGCCAACCACTGAATTCTGTGTTTAAGACCCTTCAGTGACTCCCAGTGCCTTTAGAACCAAATCCCAAACCCTAGGTGCAGCATTCAGTCTTCCACTGCTCTCGGACCTACAGTCAGATGGGCCCCCTTTCGTTCCTTGCCCACTGTACAGTGGCCAAGGCAAAGTGCACAGGTTTGGGCACTAGTCAGGAGGACTTTAATTCCTAGCATCCCACATTTAGCTAGGTGACCTTAGACAAAGGTCTGTACACCTCTCTATACACCTCAGTTTCTTCACTCCCCAAATAGGATAAAAATAGCAACCCTGCCTCTTCAGGCTGCCATGAAAAGTAAATGAGATGGATGGAGTGTACAAATGCTTACCCTACCCAACCTGGTACATAGGATAAACACAACAAATGTTAGCAGTGACCATTCGCTTATTCTTTTCAACTGGAATGCTGTTTACACCCAGGTACTTCCATCTCTAGCTCTTAAAATCCTAACTATCCTTCGAAGTTTGCTTAGTTATTTTTTGTTTTTTAAATATTTATTTATTTATTTTAGATACAGAGATAAGAGAGAGAGTGGGAAGAGGGAGAGAAAATCCTCAAGCAGACTCCTGGATGAGCACAGAGCCTGACATGGGGCATGATCTCACAACCCTGAGATCATGACTTGGGCCAAAATCAAGAGTCAGATGCTTCACCAAATGGACAACCCAAGAGCCCCTAAAATCCTCTTTTCTTCATGATTGCTCACTTGGGCCTCCAGTCTGAAGTCTGTCCTTCCTCTAAGCTCACCCTGCCATGGCTTATAGTTACCTGCTCATATGCTCCCTTTCAACCCTTTGTTAAAGGGTCTATTTTAAGCTCTTTGGGAAGCTCACACAGGTGGGGACTGTGGCTCCTGCATCCACAGAACCCAGCATGGGAACCTGCACACAGGACGTGCTGAATAGTTGCTAAACTGATGACAAAGTTTGAGGCCCTACTTTTCACCTCCCCCCCCAAAATCAAGGCAGAATATATTATTCATAGCCAAAAAAACAGCCCCAAACCAAAAAGATGTCATTTCTGCTTTGCAAATGGAGAAACTGAAACACAAGAAAGTATTTTAGTGAAACTTGGACTTGACAATATTCATCTGAATTCTGTTCACAAGACGGAAGAACCCGTCCCCATCAAATGTCATAATGCGGGAATATGGGAAGTTGAATTCTCAAATATCCTTGGCTTCAGAAGGGATATAATAATTTCACACACGAGGACCAAGCCCCTGAGTTAAAGTTTATTCATCTAAGACTCTCATCAATTCTCTATAAAATGGGCCTCTATCAGAAAGTTCTACTCCCTCCATCCCCCATAAGAGGGAAACAGCATGGGCCCTGCTGTTCCAGCGCCCCTCTAGGAACACATCAGTGGACACAATGCTCTAGTCAAAGTCACCTTGGCTACCGTTTCCCTTCAGGGCTTGGGCCTGGCTTCCTTTCAGAGAGCTGCTCTGGTCAGTTCCCCAGAAATTCAACACACTGCTGCAGGCACTGCAAAACGAGAGGGCCCAGGAGGCTGGACAAAGGTGAGGAACTGAGAGTAGGGATAGGTCTCTCTACCTTGGGCTCCTGGGAATCAGCTCAAGAGCGCACAGGACTATACCTCAATGAAAACGGGGGCCACGACGAACAGCTTGCCACCATCTGCACAGTTCCGTACACCACCAGCTACTCCAAGAGCAACCAAGTGTGCATTATTTACTCTACCTGGCTTTTCCCAAGTAATCAAAATACAAACAGCACCACTGCAAACCATATGTGCTTTCTCCTTCCTG